ACATGATGTATCTTGGTTCTTATTTTTTCCCCATTACCTGTGTGCCCTTCACCCCCTCCACCCTTCCCTATTTACATAGACTTTATTTCCATTTTAACAGATGAAATTTTGTGTTCTATGCTATTGGAGTGTAATTTAACTGAACTCAATTTACTTGTCCGGCATTTTGCTTATTTTTCCCACTAATTACTAATCAATGCAGATGGAGCCGGCTCATAAATGTGCCTTTAAATTGTCTTATTTATCTTCCCAGTGCCTTGTCCACACACAGGGACTTGTGAGTGACACTGTGATGTGTCACAGTGACAAGTCATCACTGCTCTGTGCAGCACTGTAGCGATTAATTTGCAGCTGGCTTCTGACCTCTCATCTGGCTCTGTGGAAGTTTCCCCTGCAGAAAGACGGAAGGCTCTAGCACTGAGCCCTGCCACACTCTTCCTGCATTGAACTTGCTGCCCTTCAGGCCTCAGCACATGGCAATACTGGAAGTTGTCACCCAACTTCTGAGAGGAGAAAATCCAAGTTAGAAAAATCATGGCAAGCCTGGTTCCCACTGAGCCCCTCCATAATCACTTGAACCTGTTTGTTTCCCGTGTGCAGGCTCACAGCACCCTGATGTTCCCCCATGGAGTCATGGGCCCTCCAGAGTGGCCAGCCATCCTGGTAGCCATTGCACAGGCTGGCTCTCAGTTCTCAGCTACCACTTCTGTGCCAGGTCTGCACCTCACAGCAGCACCTGTGATGTCCACTTGCTGATTCCCAAGCTGCACCCCAATCAAGGAATACAAGGGAGGCCAGTTTGAGCCAGCTACTGCTTCTGTTTAGTCAGCCCAGGACAGGCAAGGGACTCCCAAACCCTAATCTCACCTTTGCTGCAGAATGAGTCGTCAGCTCCAGGCAAATTATGGGGTCTTGCTAAGGATTAGCAGCCAGGTATGAAAAAGGCCAACTGTCTGCTCCTGATTTGGACAACTACAAGGCTGCTAGATGCAGAATGCTCTGGAAACATGTGGGAAATGAAGAAAGCCAAGGGTTGTGAGCCAGTGTAGTGACCCGTGCAACAACTGAGGTATCAGCAGATCATTCATGCTGTCCTCGCTTCATTTAGTCAACAAATGTTGACCCAATATCAGCCTCATGAAGGGTATGCCTGAGGTGCCAGGGCAACATTGCCAGGAATGGCACTGGGAAGGAGCCAGGGAGGAAGGCAGAAGTGTAAACAGCCCCTTGCTCTCAAGGTAGAACCAAAACATATGGATTATTTTAAATAACAGAGAAAAAAATGTAAAAATAGTGTGAAAACCCAGGAGTGACACCCACAAATCAGCTTGAAGTGCTAGAGGAGACAAAAGCAAGAACATCACAGTCCACAAAGTAAAGAAGGAAGAGAGAAGACGGGTGCCTGTGAGTGTAGACGCCCACGGGGCTCCAATCACAGAGGGAAGAATAGACGTTTGCAGGTATGGACACGCCATGGGGCCCCAAAAAGCAGTTAGGAAGCCACTCGGTGCTGCTCACAATGCTGCCCTTCAAACACAGTTAGCAGATCAGGTTAATCGGGCACAGCAAAGAAAGAAAAAGCAGAGATTGCAACCCTAGCATTAGAACAGTGGAGTCCAAGATGGAAGAGTCAGGCAAGGGAGGCACCATCCTGCAGGGCAGCAAGTGTCTGGAGGAGCCTGGACACGCTCACAAGGAGCTGGGCCCTGGCAGGAACCCCACAGACCAAAGGGCATCGACAACAAGTGGAACCCACAGGAACACACATTTTGCCTGAGAAATTTCAGTCAGTAAAGGATACATCAGGACATATGGATTTGGGGTCATATCATGGACATCTATATTTATAAATAACTATATATTACATGTATATTAAAGTGATAAACTATGCATAAAATTCTGTGAATAGTGGTACAAATATCTTTTTTGAATCGCTCATTGAAAATTAGTAAAAGTGTGGCATAAGCTAGGATAAAAAGTTAAAGTTGAACTTTTGACTAAAATGCAATAAAAATTACACACTAATACAAACGGAGCCCTAGTCTGCCATAAAGAAGGATAAATTCAAGTCATTTGTAGGAAATGGATATACCTTGAGACCATAATGTTAAATGAAGTAAATCAGACACACAAGCTTAAATATTGCATGCTTTCTTTTATACAAAAAATTCAATATACAAATAAAGTGTGAAATGAAAAACAGATAATAGGGAAAAAGAGAGAAAAAAAGTTAATTGTAATCCTGCATGGACAATGTACAGTATCTAAAAGTGCACCTTGGTTTAGTATAATTGTTTTATATGGTTTTTTGGCCTAATAGTCTGGCTGTCCATCTGTCTATATGATCATTAACTTTACAATGACTTATAAGATACATGAATCTAATGCTGGCAAAATAAAAGGGGTGTGGAAGGAAGGGAAAAAGAAAGAACTGAGGTGTGTTATGTACTTGTACCAATTCCTTACAATGAATGTAATCATTTTGTATTGAAAACACTAATAAAAATTTAAAATTTTTCTAAATAAAAATAAAGACAAAAACAATAACATCTAAATATAGAAAATCTGATATATATTTATTATTTCAAAGGGATATAAAATGACAATTTTGGAAAATTTATAAAATAAACAAGTGAGAATACATCAAAGCTATAGAATGATTGCCAAAACTATGCTAAAGGTAAACAGACTTCAATGACTTCGTTACTTTAAAAAAATGAACAAGTAAAGATGTGAACAAAATATTTAATCTAAAAAGTTTTATAAAGAAACAATAAATCTGAGGATAGCAAACAGAAAAAAAATCCAAGGTATTTTTTAAATTGTGTTAAGGTGTTGGAAGGAAAAATTAAAATGGCAAAGAAATTATAACTGCACATATGCTGAACAATTTTAAATCATAACAGGATCGATATATAGGACAAAGACATACTAATAAAAAATGAAGCCAAGAAATAAAAAAATTTAAAAATTAAATTGTATTAGGATAACCAGTATGACAGTATGTCAACAATCTTGGAAATCTCTATGGAAGGGATGGCTCCCTGCAAAGATAGAAATTCACAAAATAAAACTTGGGAGTGGGGCTGGGGATTTAGCTTAGGGGTGCCACCACCTCCCTCACAAGTGCGAGGTCCTGATCCCCAGTACCAAATTAATTAATTAATTAATTAATTAAAAATTGGGAGTAAAATTTACAGATACTCTTGTAAGATGATGAAAATGCTATAAGAAACTTACCTATAAAGAAAGATTACTTTTAAATAATCGCAATGATTAAAATGTCTCCAGAAGTTTTGGAAAAGAATGAGATCTCATCAACTGATATCATGGCAATGACGCAGGAGCGGAGGCCAGGGAAGAAGACAGCTTCCTGATTCCCGCAGCAGCTGTGGGTCCTGCTGGGTCAAGGTGACTGGCACATGGCACTGGCACAGGGGGAGTGACAGAGAAGCCCGTCCCAGCAGAGGACACCAGTCCACAGTGTCCCAGAGAGAACTGAGAGGGATGTGACCGTCATGACCTTGGGAAGACATAGCCTGTGCCTGGGGTGAGGAGCCAGAGGAAGAAGCCCATTGGTCAGACCCAAGGGAGTCAGAGACAGAGGGGGTCTCGTGGTCATGCAGGCCATGAAGTGCCGGCTCAGACCAGGTAGCAGAGAGGGTGCAGCAATCTGCCAGCTCCTCCCAAAGAGGGCCCATCCTCAGAGCTGCTGCCTGGGCTCATTCAGGTTCCACCCCCACCCTTGACCCTGGGCTAGCCAAGAGCTCTGGACTTTCACTTGTAACTGTGCTCAGCATGTCCTGCACAACAGATGGACAAAAACACTTCTGTATCATGCCACAAATAAGTCACTAGCCTTAAATCCTCATAAAACAAGCAGAAAATACAAGATGTGGTTTCATGTGGACAGTGATGATGTACAGTACATGAGGAAACCAGGCACAGGACACCCATTAAGGACAGTATGTCATACTCTTATCTCACTTGCTATAAAAATAAAAGCAAAGCTAAACTACAATATTCACAGTCAAACCTTCAAAAGTGCCCACACTCCCAGCTGTGAGAGTGCACAGTCCAGGCCTCTCCTATGTCCCTTGGTGAACTGGAGACAGCTCTCTGGAGCTCTGCAGGAGGCCGTGTCCCTTACCACATCTGAGAACACCCAAGACCCCTTCCTGGCTGTTCCCCAACCCTCCAGCCCCTCAGTCCTTTTCCTCTCCCAGGTGACCCAGCCCACCCTGGCCTTGCTGGGGCTGCAGCTTATTATCCACTTCCATGATTCACCCTCCACCCAGGTCCTCCCCTGCAGGACAGGGAGACCCTGTCACTGCCTCACAGTGGCAGGGTGGGGACACAAGGACACAGGACCAGGTAGAACAATGCATGTGTTCAGCCCAAACTGCTGCTATGGGAAAGGACGGCAGGATTTCATGACTCAGTCCTGTTCTTTGTGCTACACTGAACTTCATTTCTCAGTGAGCAACAAGAGTTCCTGGCTTCTGCGTTTAAGCAAGGCTCTAAGGATGCAGGATTCTTCCAAAGGACTCAGAAAATCGGGGTGGGGAGACCCTCAGGCCTCTCTCTCAGTGGCAGCAATGCAGTGCTGCAGAACTACCACGCTATGCCTTGGGCTTGTGGTGAGGGCTCAGTACAGCAAGCTCATCTCTCCCTGAGGACTCCCAAGTCCCTAACATTCCTGCTCAGAGGAGGGTGGGTCCTTGTGCCCAGCTCAGTGCTGTGGCTGGGTGGGAGTAGGCAGAGTCAGACACATCCACACTTACCTGGCTGGGCTGGAAGTTTCCATGTGCTGGGGGTGGGCTCTGAGGAGGCCTGCAAGCTCCTGGGCCATGATGCGCTGGGTGTCGTCATCCTGCCACATGAAACCTTCGGGAAGAGGGGCACAACCAAGTTACCATTCAGAAGTTTGGCCAAATTCTTGCTTTAGTCTCATGTGCAGGGTTTTTCTGGACACTGGTGATGCCACTCAGAAACCAGCGACCCACTGTGGGTCACTGAAGAGATTTCCTCACAGAAAATCTAGCTTCCTTTATTTCGAGACCAAAAAAGACACTCAATGCTTTGTTACGCTGCTTTCAGAAACAGACATCCTGTCTGCTGCTCTCGCTAGCAGCAAGGAACAGTACACCAAACACGATGTGAGTCAGAAGCAGTTCCATCTAGCGTGGAAGCCAGCAGGGTTTGGTCACAGCAGAGACTCCTCAGCCCCCAAAGCTCACATCTGCCTGGCGGCTTGCTCTCCCCACCCCACACTGCTGGAGAGCCAAGCATTTGGATAGAAGAAGGGGCACTGCTCCCATGGAGCAATTGTCGTGGGGCTTAATGTACTGTATCTGGGAGCCAATTACACTATATTTACACTCAAATGTTATGACAAAGAGCTTTGGAACAAGGGTGAAGCAGTTATGAAGGCAAAATCCATGTGATTATGCATTAATTACATGCACTGTGGATCACATGATAATTATGCTCAGAATTACCAAATAACTCCCAAGAATAATTATTATGCAATTTGTACATTTTAGATCTTATGGTAACACTTTCACACTTAGAACTACCCCATGCAATTATCCATAATTATCTAATCACTAAATATCATGTAATTACAGAGGTATATTTTTATGCCCTGTACAAAAAACACATTACTAAAATCTTCAAATCAGGATAGCCCTGTGTGTGTGTTCATGCGTGTGGGGGGGGGGGGGGCTAAGGAAGTCCAGAATTCTCTGGATGGAATTAAAGGAAGTGCTCAGTAGATATAAGTGGCCTTCATGAATACACCTAAATTGTTTTCAAATGCAAATCTATATTTGTTTAAGTTTACAGATGGTAAGATTCACACAGCCATCACACTCATGGGTCCCACAGGCCCAGAAGTGCAATTACCGAGGAGGGTGGCCTCAACCCACCCCGACCCCAGCTCACCCTGAAGGGCCCCCTTTGAAGTGTGACACACGGAGAGTCAGTCACTGTGGGGGACAGTGTCATAGCCACTCTGCCCTGACTTAGGGTTAAATGCGCTTCATAATGAGCAAGTCCAGCCGTCCCACTTGTGAAACGCGTGCTCTCAGAAACACATGCTCCGTGGCTGCTCCTGGCCCATCCCAGGAGCATTCTCAATGGAAAGCACTTTTGCAATGTAACCAAACAGCCAGAATTTTGGATTGAAGAAAATAAGCCTACTTTAAGCATGCCATTCCCCAGTGGTAGCCTTATATTAATATTTATCAGGAAACAGAAAATCAACGATGCACAGGGAACTTTCCATGCAAACATTTTCATTTATAAAATTTAGATAACTGAAATTCAATAACATTTTCTACCTGAAGAGCACAAAAGCCTGAGCTGTGTCAATCCTGGGGTCTGAGATAGGGCTCAGTCCTCCTGGACCACAGCTGGCTGGCAAGGAGGGGCTGCCCAGGTGGGTGGGCTGGGGAGGACTACCGACCCCGCAGCCCTGATTGCTGAACTGTCCAGAGAGCGGGAGGGAACAAAGATCTGGGGGCCCACATCCCTGTGAACTTCTCCCAAGGCTTGTCTCAGAGAAGGAGGCACGGCCCAGAGGAGAGGACTGGCTTCTGAAAGGTGGAAAGACAAGTTTTTTCCCATTCCTCTACTAGGTGGACCTAGGATAATGGAAAGACTCCAAGGGAGGAGAGAAAAGAAAGCAGGAAATGGAGCCTGACCTTAGGAACGGCCTAGGCTTCCCTTTGTCTCATGCTTGACCTCGGAGCAAGCAAGGCCAGCGATGCAGAAACACCTAGACTGGGCAGACACGAAGCCCTGACTCAGCTGCCTCTCTCAGCCAGAAGGCCAGGAAGAGGGGCAAGGTCCAGAAATGACAGACACCCCAGAAAGGGCAGAGCCCCACCCAGCAAGGCTTAGAGGCATCCTAGGCCTCCTCCCTCATGAGACACAACAAGCTGCTAAACATGGCCCTAAAGATGGCTGAGTAGGGCGTCAGGGTCCACCACCATGGTCCCAGGGAGACCCCTTGGGGGCTGAACCTCCTGTCCCTCTCCTACCCTCAGGTGTGGGCAGACAGAGGGACTTCTGCCCCCACCTGTCACACAAGTAGCACCCTACCCCCACCTAGCAGAACAGTGCAGAAAGGCCAGGCCAAGCGCAAGGTTCACATGAAATCTGGGCCGGGCCTGGTGGCTCATTCCTCCAATCCCAGCACTCAGGAGGCCAAGGCAGGAAGGAATGGAAGCAGGAGCCCTCCAGAGTTCAGAGTTCATGGTGGAGACTGTCCTTGCCACAGCACTTCTCAAAGTAGGACAACCTCCATTCTAAAGAGTTTGCTTCTGTTGTTTTTGAGCTTTTGAAAGGACGAATGCAGATTAAAAACAGAAAAAAGTAAAAGATTGATGCAGAAAGTGATTACATCCAAAATCATATGGTTTTGTCAGTAATTCAACCGCACAGAGCTAACATGGAACCCAGAACATCACAAGCAGGTGAGTCATGATAAGAAGACAAAGAATACCAGATTAGCTGTGATGCTGCAAAAGGCGTCCTCCCAAGAATGTGGGAAACATTTCAAGATGCAATGAGAGGCGTGACGCCTCAGGGGAGAGCCACAGTTGGGAGATGCCTGTCAGCGTGGTCATGGGGTGATGAGGTAGCAGGATGAGCCCTTGCTGGGCACGGGATGACTCAGGAGGAGGAACAAGCCAACTTCTAGTTTGATCGGCTTAGTGCCCTGCTACTTCTGCTCAGGACACGTGGCCAGCAGGTGAGCCTGAAGAAAGGTGCCATCATCAGACAGCGGTGAGGACAAGAGCAGACCGTGGGCACACGCAGAGCGCCGAGATGTGCCTGCCGCAGTGGATCACCAAGGTGGATGGTGTGTTGGCCTGGGACAGAGGTTCCCGTGTGTGGTGGAGCAACTCTTGCGGGGAGGCCGCAAAGGGCAGTGGCAGAGAAGGAGAGAAAGGCACCTCAAACTCTCTGTCTCCACGAGGATCTGCGCCTCCCATGAGGCCAGCAGGGCATGCTCTCCTCACACCAGACAGAGGCCTCCGAAAGGGAACACTGAGACCTGCATTTCCAGACGGGAAACTGAGTGGTGGAGCCAGCACACAGAGTGGTTAGCACGTCGTGCAAAGGCCAGTCCAGGGTCTGGCAGGGGGCGGGGATGGGTTCAATGGACCACGTATGTCCTCAGCTGCATGCTCACAGACCACCAGCCCAGGGGGGCAAGAGGGAGGAGAGAGGGCCTGTACCTTCATAGTTACGGCCATTCCTGAAACGGCAACACTTTAATAAAATCACAACTTTGTCCTTCCAACGGTGAAGAACTAGGGACTTCCTTGAAAACAGAAGAAACTGAATGAGTCTTTAACGTGCTGTGGGCCACACTCAGACGCCACAAGGGGGACGAGGTGGGCTGTGCAAGGAGGCCTGAGGCCCTCCCGACCTACACAGCCTGCAAGTGAAGAGCCGGAAGGCGCCGCCTTCTCCAGCACATGCCCTCACTCCCGGGACCCACGCTCAGGCTTGCCAGAGACCACTGCCACCTTCTTGCGGGCTCTCTCGGAGACACAAATCAAGCCACCAGCTCCCTGGCAATGGGCGGCTGAGCTGTAGGTCAGGAGGGAGCAGCTAGGCCAGCCCCATGGGGTGGATCCCCAGGCACAGCAAGCGCTTCCAAAAGGAACCTGGCAGGAGCTGGACTCCCTTTTTCTCGAGATACCCCAGAGAGGGATATTTATTGGAACATAAATTTTAAAACATTGACAATGATTCTAAAATTTTCAAAGCACTGTTTAAGACTGAATAAACAAAACAAATATGCAAACACACTACATAGCCACAAATATGCATATACAGTGTGCACATAGCACATACACACAGACCACGTGCACACATAACCACACACACCAGCACAGAAAGAGCAAAAGAAAGAGTCTTAAGGAGAAAAGCAAAAGTTCTAAAAAGAGAAGTTTATTTTCTATGTCAAATTTTAAACCAAATTCTTCTGGTTTCTGCCCTTTTGGGTTTTTTTAAATAATGTAAAATATGTTTGATTTCTGAGCTACAGTGCTGGTATTTTCTTTCAAATTGACATCAACTGATGTTTAGCACTATGTCATTTTCAACCAACTATAAATTTGCCTTGGTAACTATGTTTACATAAAAGACAATTTCAGTAGCTTTCCTAGCTGTAGGGAAAGTGCCAACAATGCATTTATTCTTAAAGTGCTTGTGGAAAAATTTTCTCAAAGGAAAAAAAAGTCAAAATCATTGATAGCAAATTGAACACGTTTTTAACTTGATTATAAGAAGTACAGAGATTAAAGCTCTTTTGAAATCAGGGTGGAAATGGTATGAAAGCAGAGCATGGGTGACAATTCCCGATCTGGGCTGAAACTCGAATCCTAAACGTAGAAAGAGAAGCAGCGTGTGCAGAGCCTGGTGGTAGTTCACATCCTCCAAGAATAAGGTAGAATAATGGAAATAATATACTTATCCTTGAGAGTACAGGAATGACAGCATGTGGAGACAAAACAGAAGCTAAATGTCCTTCTGGGATCCCTGGACATGAGCCCTGGGACTCTTAGATACCAGCGATTGGACTGAAGAAATTATAGCCTTTCTCCCAATATAAACAACACATCCCCCACGAGGCTCCAAACTATCTAGGGAGGCCAAGCATCCTCGCCCACTAGGCCCAGCGATCAGTAAGTAAAGTGAGTCTGTGAACATTGAAAAACTCAAAAACCAGAACTATGACCAAAGCCTCCATTTCCTTGTTTGAAATACGTAAACAGGACTTCAAGACCATGTGCACAAAATGAGCTCCCAGGATGGATGAGCACGCATCTGCTAGGCTCTGGACAGGTCACAGCAGAGCCCTTCTCCCTGCTCACCGCCCAGCACACTCTCATCTCACCGAAAATCAAAGGTCAGTGGGAAGAGGAGGTCTCTGTCTTCCCCTGAGTGCCGGCCTCTCAGTTGCCATGGTGACTCAAGGTAATCCCCAGCTGCTGTGGAGGGGGGATTCAGCTAGCAGAGCACCCATGGCCTGACAGGTTTTCATTGTCTCCTCTATTGCAGGAAATCCGAGCAATAACAGCAGCTCATGCCACACTACTCAGGCAAACTTCTCAGTGCCAATTACTTGGAGGAAAAACAAAATCATGCCTGTGCCTCTGGATGGAAAGTGGTGTCGCTGTTCAAATGGCTCAGACAAAGCCAGAGGCCCAGTGTGTGGGGGGGGGGGGGGGGGGGAGTTTCTGTGCAGACCTGAGCACATTGCTACTAAATTATTTGTACGTCATTGGACAGTGTGCACTCCAGAGGGACCTGTCTCATTTCTGCCCTGTGAAAACCACAGACAAACTAGAGACATATTTCTCCAAAAGACTGTGGGCTTGACAGGCACCCCTACTCATGTGTCACAGGTACATGACAGACACAGGAGTGCTAGGGACCAAAGAGGAGCTGGATCTGGGTAGCTGGTTAGACTGAGTGTCGTGCGGTTAAACAGTACACAAATTCGCCACACAATACAGTATGGTGCAAACTAGGAACTCAAGCCACCTACTCCAAATCCAAATCACCTAGGGTATAAACAACCCCTGGGCGTTCGGATGGGCAGGATAGAGTAGCATGCTGGGGAAATGAGCCTGCATCACAAAACAGATGCATTTTATTGGGGAGATCTGACTGTTCTTTCCTAACCCTTATCTGGATAAAAGTTAATTTGTTCTCAAATTCCTTATCTCCCTCTCAGGAAACCAGGAACTGAAGACAACATGGAAGAGACTGATTTCATAGACCAAATTTAGTTGTTCAGGCCAAACTAAACCAGAAGTATACAATCAGTTTTTTTAACTGAGTGCTTTAAGTATGTGTCAAGCCCTAACACTTGGAGAATTTAAATTAATACCTGAGGCTTTTCTTCTAGTAAGTGGGCCAGTCCCTTAGACCTCTCTGGGGCAACTGGCCCAAAAGAAGCTGTCTGGACTGAGCAGGAGCCTATTCCGGGAGCCATGAGGTCCCACCATCAACAGTTTGCCTTTCATTTGTTTTAGTGTTTGTTCCTTTCACAGAGCAGTAAAGCTGCAGGACTTGTCTCAGGCGGCATGTTTCAGAAGGGAGCGGGGGAAGACACCAAATGAACTCTTCTCCAGTGAGTGGACCTAACTTCATCAGTGGATTAATGACGGCAGTGATGAGGTCTTAATGTGAGGGTATCATGGGAGGTCATGGAAACAGGTGGTGGGGCCTAGTTCAAGAGCAGGCCTGGGCTGTGTGACTCTGGGGATGTCTGTGGTCTCCAACCTTCCTCTCTGGTCCTTTCCATTTCTCTTTCTCTGCTTCCTGGCAGTCATGCCCTTCTGCCATGATATCTACCTGAACACAGATCTAAAAGCAATGGAGCCAGCTGACCATGGATGGGAACCACTGAAATCATGAGCCAAAATAAACCTTTCTTCCTCAAGTTGGTTTTTAGATGTATTTTATCACATGACTACAGACTAACATAGACCCAAAAATTATGGGAAAATATTTGAGGCATGTGCCAATCTAAGGAAAATGGAAACATTCTTGAAGACATCCCCTCTTCATCGGCCACCCTCAGGACTATGCTCTGTGAGGGGCTTCTGTCCCTTGACGTCCAGTGTCCGTGGGGAGAACACACTCAATGGGAGCTTTTACTTCCTCTTAGGACTCAGGCAAGCTGAGATTTCCCTCTAAAAGCACAACTAATTGTAACTTCTCTCAGCAAAGGTGTTGGGGACACATCTGTCCCTGCTTGCAAGCACCCCAGAAGCCGACACCAGGAAGCCAGGCCTGTGATAGAGCCTGGGCCGGCCTTCCAGGGCCACACTGGTGTACCCAGGGAGATCAAGGCACTCAGTGTGAGACTGTCACGTGGGTCACAGAGGTGGGGCTCACCTTCCCTAACCAGGAAGAAAAGCTTTGAGGGCCCCTATGGGATTCTCACCACTAGAGAGTCAACTGAGCCAGCTCGTTGGAAATGAAGGTGTTCCTCAGCATGGTAGCTTCAGAATAAAGGCATCCTGACCTGGGGACCAGGTAGGGAAAGTGTACAATCGTGTATTTCTGGTGGAATGGGGGCATTCTGTGCTCCTCTCTCATTTCAAGATGTTGCTGGCAAGTTTGCCACCAGCTCCAGTATCCCAGCTGTGATGCCTCCATTCTCACCAGGGCTGTGCTGATCAGTCAGCTCTCAATGTGTTGCTATCAGGACTCTGGGCTCTCTGCCTCCCAGCCCCTCACTAAGAGGTTTGGCTTCTTCTTCATTGCAGTCTCTGGGCTCAGTTTGACCAAAGTGCCCATCAGGGTTCCATGGGCCTGACTGGCTCTGTCTGTGTCTCTGGTCTAGGAACACCCATGCCACTCCCATTTCCTCATTATCTCTCTCTGTCCGGTTCTGGGCCATGTCCATCACCTGAGGCCCCCACCCCTTGACACTCTCAGAAACACCCAGCCTTGGACGGTGTCTTCAGGTTGAAAATGCCACAGGAAGTGACTTGCTGGTACCTCCAATACATGCTCCATTTTCCTGGTGGATTTAATTTGTGGTGCTGTGATCCAAACCCTGAAGGTGCCAACAGTGTTTCGTATCATTGGAGGGACATCCTGTGGCCCTGACGGACTTTGATTTAGAGAGGAAGCCTGTATCCAGGATGTCCACCAGAAGATTTCTGTGGGAGGCATCACTGATGAGGATGCTTCAGTGGTCCCTGGCCGCCCACCTAACGGAAGAGCTTCGAAGAAGCCCAGCCCCTACTGAGGCCTGACCGCTTGGGATGCAGCCTCACAGACTCCCTGAGGGAGGGGATGCATCAACAGGGACCAGCATCTGCATTGCTAATGGGCCAAGACTGCTCTGTTGAGTGTCCCTCCCTGCCCTTTCCTGCCCACCATATGTGACACTGTACCTGGCAGAGGTGTCATCTTAAAGCCTGATCTTTGAATATTTGGACACAATCTTCAAAGATCTACTCTGCCTACCTCCTCACCCTGAGAGTCTGGTCCTCCTGACCTGGTGCCACCTCCAATGTTAACTTTGCTCCCCGCCACCCCCTCTGCTCTGCTCAGTTCCAGTCCTTGGCTATCCTTCCCTGAGAACAGGACAGTCTAGAAAGACACTAAAAGACTGAAGCAAGGGGGAGTCATGGATAACTTTTCTGTGCTGATGGTGTGGGTGGGAAACAGTGGGGTCCACAGAGCCCTGGGGCCCCTGGAGGGCAACACACTGGACACACAGCATCATCACAAAGAGCAAGGTCCCTAAGGTGTGTGGGCCACACATGGTAAGGGGAGGGGACAGCCACACAATGTCAAGTGAGAGGCTGGCTGTGTCCTCGGCACCCTGCAGCGGGATGAGGGGCTGGTTTGCTCAGAAACAAGAGGAGTGCATCTCATGAGGGTACAAGAGCAAGAACATCTCGATCCCCTGTGTGCGTGGGCTCGAGGGCAGTGGGAACCCATCCGTCACTGGGTGTTGCCATGAGCACACTCCTGGGAGCAGTGGCAGTGTGGCACTGCTCCAGCCAACCTCTGGGCTTCCAGCCATCACTTCCAACCTGTAGGGCTCTGGCCATCAGGGGGAAGTGGCTTTAGAAGTCCTTTGGAGCAAAAATCTAGATGATGCTCTTTCTGAGCTGTGACCTTGATTAAGCTCTAGGAAATCCAGGGTGGAGGAGAAAGAGTCCTTTTCTTTCACTAGGACTGTGACCATCTCTCAGGTGAGAATATCCTTTTAGATACAAACCAAGGAAGGAAATGAATTTGGAGCTGGATTTCAATGGCATAGACCTTCCATACCAAGGACCCATTTGCTCAATGGGCCAACGATCAAAAATTTTATTTCTTGAAATGTTTTCCACCCTGAGACTTCCTCCAGGATGCACTTCAGGGGTCCATGACTTGGTCATTCCTAGTTCTAGGCCATGTCCTTGAAGTTTCCTAGCTGCCCTTTCCTAGTTGCCCAGAAATGCCCACTGCAACTATGACCTTGACCCTAGGTCACCCTCTCTGAGCCATTTACTGCAGCCTCTATCCCTGGAAGCCATGAGCCTGGTGCCATGATCCTGGTCTCCTCCTGCCTGCTGGCACCTGGATGCTCCTGTCTCCTCCACCCTTGGCATGCCCAGCCCTGGGAGGAAAAGAACATCAAATCACTGCCCTCAGCACAGCTTAGCTGGCCCTTTCCTGACATTGATAAACCATGGAGAACTGAAGCCACAGATGGGCCCAGACACTTCCTGGAGATCCTGAAGAGGAGTCTGTTTGGATAAAGCTGGCAGTAAGGTGGTATTAGATCTCAATGCTTATGTACTCCAAACACCCCAAACTGTGGCTTCTTAGCCTGCAGACATTCAGATGTTCATGGGAAGTCTAAAGTCCTTGTACACATAACACACTCACATGCAAACACTGAGTAGATTAGAGGCAGCTGCTTAGGTGTTCAGAGGATAGGCTGGCCTGGACAACCACTTGCCCCTCACAGAAGGCGGCACTGGCAGACATGGCTCCATCCTCCTGAACCCTGAGAAGAAAAGTGACCTGAGAAATCTACAGACCTAAAAGCCAGTCACCCACATGCACAGAGACACCAGCGTCTTCCCTGTGCCCAGGAGGGGAGTCCTTAGGAGAGACTGGCCATGGGAGACCAGGGAGGCCCTTGGTCTGCAGGCAATGGACACAGTCCACGCCTCTAGATCAGTCAGGAACCTGTGGTCTACCCTGGATGGGTTGAAATCTCTGAATGCAAGACCAATCCACCACTGAGGAGTAGAGGAGGGAGACCTTGCCACAGGCAGTTCAGCAAGCAGGTGGGGAACAGACTGGCTAGCAGATATGTAGACAGGCCAGCAAGTGCAAATAAAGGCCAGCAGACATGCAGACAGACAGGCACTGGATACACAGATGGGTCACCAGGCACAAAAACAGGCCAGCAGACACATAGACAGGCCAGTGGGCATGTGGACAGGCCAGCAGGCAACAGGAAAAGGCCACCAGGAGGGCACCACAGGCCAGGCTGAGTGTAGATATGGCAGGGAAGCCATGGACTGGAGGCTATGGCTTCACCAGGAAATAAAAACACCAGGGACTTGAGACTGCTCCTTTCCCTGGCCTCCCCATCCTTGAGATCCCTGGGTAGACACTTGTCCGGACCCCAAGTGACAGGCTCAGCCCACAGGCAGGGATAGGCAAAGGCAATGC